CGGGTAGACCCCTCTGTGTCCGCATAAAAGAACACCTAGCCGGCAAACATAGACCAAATACACCGCTAGGCACGCATAGGACCCAGAGACATAACGGGGACGACTTTGAAGTATGTGTCACGATCCTCGCAAGCGAATCAAGAACACAGGCGCGAGAAACTCTCGAGGCACTCTGGATTAATTCCAGAAATCCGAAAATGAACCGCAGGGAAGAATGCCTCATTATCACGCGTGATATAGGGCAGTATATAAGACTGCTATTCTGATGGGAGGAGCACATTATACTTCCATGTGATTTCTGTGCGGTTGGTCTCTAGGTGACATACTTAGTGGAAACCTCATAGAAAGCGGTGAGTGTGCAAAGCTGTGTTCAACGTGATTGAAATCTTGGCTTGGAGTTTCTTTGTTTGGTTATGGAGGCATCTGGCCGAGTGGATTGCTGTCAACTTGACCTTTCCAGGCTCTGAGGAAGGCGAAATCCGCCGAAACGTCAGCTTTTTCGTGAATAAAGAACCTCGCGTTTGCATGACAAAAATACGAAGAATTACTTGATCGATGCCGAGGTTAATAGAAAGTCGGTCGTGGGAGTAAATAGAAGGTTTTGCCTAGTCGATGTCGTTGTTGTCCCAAAATTCTACACGTGATCAGAACACCGCTTCTTCCGTGCAAGATTCCATTTTTCGCGGAAAAGAGAAAAAGCCGCTAAATTCAAAAACCGATGCCCCAGAACCACCGCAAACTTACTCAATTCATTAGTCGGCTGTTGGGAAGATGCCGTTGTCGATAACATTGACGAAGAATACGATCGGCTTATTCAACATCTTCACGTTGGCGCTATGAAAGCTTAGAGTTCGAAAGTCACCAAGAGACGTCTATCTCCAGAAACACTGGAGCTGATACGCCAGCGTGGAATCGTACGAGCAGCAGGTAACAGCGAACTGACGTCTGAACTTGCAAAACAATGCAGACAGACGATAAAAGAAGGTCTTAAAGAGAGAAGAACAGCAGTAATGGTCGAAGCCGCAGAGGCTGGGAAAAGCACTCGCAAAGTCTTCTATCCCACTGAGATCAGCAAATTTTTACCTTGTCTGGAAGGATTGCAGCACTGACTGTATACATCGGTAGGCCACGACGAGTCATTACAAAGGCCCGATAAGCATTCAGTCACCTCCAAACGATGCTCAATGAAGTCGAATGCATGGCGCATCTCTCAGGGATTGATCAACGTCGAGAGTTTCATCCTTCATCACCCTTAGCTGTAAGTACTCCTCGTTTTGTTCTGTTAATGCATTAAAGCTAATATTTGGTCTTCACGTTCAATTATAAAAGTTCAATCATCTATGTTTGTGGTTCGCACAGCGAAAAAATACGAAGTTCGGCGTGGGAGAATAATTTAGCCGAATATTTTTTACTATTTGGCCAACGAATCTAATAGACTACCGAGTGATTCAACGTACAAGTTATGTGTAGTTAAAACCACACATTCCTCAAATCACATGAAATAAATATCATCGGTAGTGAACTTGGACTTGCATGCTATGAGTGCCTGTTTGACCCGGAAACTACCAGTATGTTGGGAATTTCAGTAGAAACGTGGTACACACTCATCAAGAATAATAGCGAAAAAGCTTCATAAGATGTGTGGTTTCAATGAACAAGAATTTTGAAACCAAGTAAGTTAAATATAAAAACCACTGCAAGATCTGTAAGCCTTAATAATAGTAATATTTAAATGGAACATATCAATGAAATGTTCGAGGGTCCGATGACTATAATTTCCACAAAGTTTAACAGAACTCAAACCATCACTGACTTTATATTGGGTTGCAATAAGTTCTGTAATTGAATTGAAGTGAATAAGTCTAAATAGAGATATTCGGTAAGCATCACATACTTCCCTATCGAAACACTGCTAGGTAGTCTATCTCAGTCGACAGGTAGAAAGAAAATTAATAAATTAAAATAGATCATGCTCTTATACTTAAATGCAGATGGGTTCAGTGGATGCCTCTATGTTCTTTGATAAACAGATACAATTTGTATGTGCTTACAAATTTCATGTATGCGTGCTTAATGTGCTTTTGCACATGTGGATTTAATCTCACACGTCGTTTCGGCCAAAAGCCTCCATTGAAGTGGAAAGAGATGGATAAAAATTGCTTAGGAATCGTAAATAAACTCTTTATCTACGCTGGGATTCCCCGGTAAGGAACCGATGAGTATATTTCTAGGCGAAAAAGACTAATTAGCTATCTATGGCACTACTTTGCTATAACACTAAAAATAAATATGGTGCAATACATTGACGGTTGAAGAATTTATTGCTGCTTGGTTGAGTCGCTTGATAATTAATAGGGTTAAAGCTGATGCAAGTAACAGGTGATAACTATTCAATACTCCGTGACATACAATAGGTGTACCAGATCTTAGAAAAATCCTTGAATTTCACAACTCATTGTATTCTGCTTTTATGTGTCATTTACCTCTCTGGAATTTTGAAATGTCATTCTATTATACAAATCACAATCCAACAAGATAATAACTAGAAAAGCATAGTAATATGAAGTGGTAGTGGAAATAATTCACGGTAGCCAAACGATGAGCAAATAGCGCTGACGACGAAATAAGAATTGGTTTATGAATTATCTTACCATTTCCAGCCACAAATTCGTCGTAAGTACTTGATTTTTTTCGTCCTAAAAAGCAAAAAGTAATAGAACTTATACAATTTGGGCATAAACGATGGGATAACTCACAACGTCGATAATCCGAATAAGTGATGCTCCGACGTCAACAGTTAAAATATCAGAGCTATTCTTGACAGGCCGGGGAATTCTATTGTAATCGAAGAGGAGATCCTCGTAGAGTTGACCTTCAAGGTCCTTTGCTGACTGCCTAACTTTTGAGGTCCCCAAAATTGTTATCAACAAAGTCGTCATTAGATAGTGCAATAGCATTTCGTCGCTGCTTAGGTATTGTCAGTTACATCCGGAAATTATAAAGAAAATAAACGTCACATACGAATGCGAAATCTAATGCATATATTGTGGTAGTTATAATAGTAAAGCAATGATGAAAAGGAATGTGAACACCCAGTTCCAGCCTAAGACGACGTAGGTTCATGGTGGCATTAGGAAACAATATATACGTAATTAAACACTAGTAATTTAAATACAGAGTCAATGGAATTGCCTAGTCGGAATTAACAGAAGTGGAAGAAAAAGTAGAAGTAGTAGAGGTAGTAGAAGTAGAAGGAGTCTTAGGAGAAGAAAAAGTTTGCATTATGTGAATGAAGTTTTTGTGTTGCCAACGACATCGACTGTTTTGAGCAACAGCAATAATAACAAGAAACTTCTACTTAATATACTGAATAAGACCCAAAATCAGTCGATGTGCGTGGAAACTGTGCAAGTTCTGTGGATTCACCACTGGAAATTCGCACCAGCTGTTACGGCAAAATCGGATTGTTAGAGCCGCTGCTCGTGAAGGCGATAGATATTGATGTTCGCGTGGTGCTCTGCGTATAGATTTAGAAATTCCGCCGGGAAGGCGCCGAGTGAGGATGGAGTGCAGCAATTCAAGTGGCATTTGAGGGACTAAGAAATTGCGTGCCCAAATTGCGCAGTACTTCGTCCTTCTGGAACTCCCTGAGCAGGCATCATTGCTCCTCTCCTTGCTTTGAAATGCTCGCGACCCACGGCTAGAGCTCTGTCTTACATCGTCACCAATGTTCTTGGTGAATAAGAACTCAAATAGAAGCACAATGGTGATGAGATATTTGGAAAACTATAGATCACAGGTGTCTGCGGTTGGGAACGAACGCGCTATTCCCCTTTCCGTGAGCTAACGCGCTCACGACCACACCATGCATGTCCTTCGTTTCACCTGTATCTCAGCTAGTTCTATCGATCGGTGCCGTCAGCAATCCAAAAGAACTAGCTGAGAGACAGGCGAAACGAAGGACCCGCATGGTGTGGTGGTGAATGCGTTATTCCCGGGAAAGGACAATAGCACGTTCGTTCCCCACCGCAGACACCTGCGGTCCGGAGTTTTTCAAATATCTCAGCATCACTGAAGTTACATTTCGCATAATACCCTGCCACAAAAAATTGTAGTAGGCAGCAAATAAAAAAGTTAGCATTGTGAGCTCAAATAGAGTTATTAACTTGTCCACTCGTATTAAATCAGGTCATAGTTGACAATTTGTTAAAATAAAATACCAGTATAAGCAGTTCTTGCCATAAATTTTGTCATTCTAGCTTCCAACTATGTCGTAATATATTCGCTATTCATGCTATTCATTGTGGGATTTTTGGTATTTATCCAAAAAGCCTCGAGAAGTTTGCGCGTTGGTATCTTAGAATGCTGTGCGAGGATAGCGACTTTTACATCAAAATCATCTTTGCGATGCTTTTTTATCCTATGCGTACCTAATGGCGCACCTTGCCTTACTTTTCGTTTGCCATCCAGGTGTTCTTTCATGCGGATACATAAATGTCAGCCCGTTTTGCCAATTTATTCGACTACACAAACACTACAAGAGACGAGGTATATCGTACCTGAACTCATGCAATCACGGTCCGTGCCATAGAGGCAAATTGCGCAGTTTCGTGTTCCATATAGACAGTAGTATAGACGGTTACGAACTAACTGGCGACGAAGAGTATTGAGTGGTATTTCAACTATCGCTACCGTTTCCTCTAGACCAGCCCTTCATAAGCATCGTTTTATAGCTACGCTTACTTCATCGCTTATAAAAGGCAACATAAACGGGACTTTCTTTTGGCCAAGTGTTTCGCGTGGGCGCGTCGTTCTCCTTGTAAACTTATCTTGTGGGGTAACTATTTCGTAGCCATTGGAGATGGCTATTTGCCGAGCCAAGTCGCGCGATTCTTCCTTTAGTTCCCTGGTAGTGCACACAGAGGTGGCTGTTCGAAGCATGTTTCTCACAATCGCCCTCTTTGTGTGTGAAGGGTGGGAAGAAAGGAAATGAACAAGGATGTTCTTGTTACTTAGCTTTCGATACCACTTTGTCAGGTAACCGCTACTTGACAGGTTTATTTGAACGTCTAAAAACGAAAGCCAGTTTTTTCTCAGTTTCTCCCGGGTGAACTTTATGTACTCAGACTGCTCGTTCAATAATTCAAAGCACTTGTCCATCTCTTACTGCGTAGAGAAGACGACAAAACAATCATCTACATATCTGCAGTAGAGTAGTGGCTGGAGATTGATAACAGGGGCTTCTATCTTAGACATAAACACAATGGCAAGGCTTGGAGCCAATATGTCCCATTGCCAACCCCTTATTTGTGCGAAATATTTCCCAGACCATCTGAAAATCGAGCAGTTTAGGCACTCTTTTAAGAGAGCCGAACTCTTTGGTAATTACATGATCAACAACTTCTCGAAAAACCTCGAAACTTCTTGAGGCTTTTTCGACAAATGCCAAAAACCCCACAATGAATAGCAGGGACGAATGCCCGGAGGTCATACGCGACCTGATCCCGTATGTTCGCATCGATTTTTGATGTGGGATGGTGCAGTCATCAACCACATGCGACTATAATCAGCTGTTCTAAACTTCCTCATTGGAAGTCACGGAAAAGCAGTGGGTTTTTTCGAGAAGTTGTTGATCATGTAATTACCATAGAGCTTTTCGTTTTTTGTAAGTGTCATTGAAGCGTTTGGCCTAGTAGATTGCATATCAGTGTACCCCTCCAGGCTCTGAAGAAGGCGATACTGCCGAAACGTCAGCTTGTGTTGTATTGTATTGTGTTTCTCTATGGAAGCAAATGTGTGCTGTTTAAAAACCTCGCGATTGCTGAACAAGAAAACGACACATTCATAGACCTAATAGAGTTGCAAATCAACACTGACCTGCCCACTATTCTCCTCCAGAGGCGGTCGTCCAAATATTGAGCGCAAAAATTTTCCTTCGTCTCGCACTTCTTCCACTTGGCGAACATCTGGTTTTGTCGGCTTCGTAGATAGGTGCGTAGTCTTCGCAATTCGATGTCCAGTACTCGGTGACTGTCCTCTAGTAGTCCGCATACGTCGTGTAGTCGTCTTCATTTGATGAAGTTCGGAACGACTCGATCTTTTAGACAGCGGCGGAGAAAGTGTATTGAACGTCGTGCTAAGGCGATCTTTTGTCTCAGCGACAGCGCTTCTTTTACAAGTTGGAAATATCTTGCTGGTATATCTTGCACTAAATCCCACGACCCCCCTTTCTATTAACCTCAGCATTCATCAAGTAATTCTTCGTATTTTTATTGAGCAAACGCGAGGTGTTATTAATAGTTAGTGGAAACGTCATAGAAAGCGGCGAGTGTGCAAAGCCGTGTTCAATGTGATTGAAATCTTGGTTTAGAGCTTCTTTGTTTGGTTATGGAGTCGTCTGGCCGAGTAGATTGCTATCTACTTGACCTTTCCAGGCTCTGAGGGAGGCGAAATCCGCCGAAACGTCAGCTTAATCGTGAAGAAAGAATAATAACACCTCGCGTTTGCTCAACAAAAATACGAGGGATTGTTTGAACACTGTCGAGATTAATAAAATGTCGGTCATAGGAATTGTTAAAACTAAAATAGTCAGAACAAGTCGAATTTTCAAGTCTACTTATGCTCATAAGACATTCAACAGAGAGGAGCTGGCATCGAAGTGCATACACATAGAGAATTCCTCGTCCCGATTTGAAAATGCTTTGCACTTTATTGGTGGCCGATTTCTTTTCCGTCGAATTTAATGGAAACAAACAAGTTTCCTATCACTTCACAGTGCTTCGCTTTCCAATGTTCTGAGTAACGCATTTATTTTCAAAGTTGCCTGAAAGCTGCTTTCCCTGCGACTCTCCAGCGAAGAGAGATTCCGAGTCAAACCAGCGCGTAATACGCCGCAAATTTTGTTTGAATGCCGTGACGACCACCGACCGTAGTAGCTTGTTACAGGCACCACGCCGCCTATCATTAGATGACCATGCACCAGCACCGGCGGTGTCTTGCGCAGCCAAACCGTGTCAGGTGGGTCGGAGCCATCCGGTATCGTCAACGCTGGAAACCGTGGGGTGAGCAGACGAGGTTCTCAGGAGGGAAGTTCGTCACACATGAAACATCAGCAAACTACACGAACAGCAATAGATCGACTACACAACCTCAGGGTGTAGCTGGAGAAATGGGACATAGTGGAACGTTTGAAGTACTCCATGCCGAGAATTGCGGACAGGATTGCAGCGAATTGTATACAAGGGTGCGCGTATGTGGTGTGTATGCGCAAATTATGTGTGAAGCTCCAACCTCCACCTCTATTTACTCGCTTATTCTTTAGATAGGAAGATCCAAACGGCGAAGTTGATGTAAAATTTCGTATATTTTCGAGCGAAACTCTCAAAGTCCCTAACCACTATCGCGCGAAAAAGTTTAGTTCGAACCTTACAGCTGCGCAAAAATCTGGTATGCGACAAGTTCGAGAGCTAATGAAATCAAAGACTATTAGGCTATCAGTTAGTGATAACGGTGAAGAGTTTTTAGTAATTCCTCGCCAGTTGGATGTCGAGATAACGGAAAAACATCTTGAAGACGCGTCCCTTTATCGCGCATCTACTGAAAAGGAATTCAGAAATCAAAATCGAAAACTAAACGACGAATGGGTCAAAATGGCAAGCGCAGCAGGTTTAAAGCATCAGACATTTCGCATCTTAAGATCGAAGTGCCGACATCTCCCGTCTTATACTTACTTATCAAGACCCATAAGTTAATATCTACTGATAATCTGGCGTCTACCGGCCCCTCCACTCTTAAAGTTAGACCCATCATCAGTTGTGTAGACGGGCCTACGGATAGAATTGCTTGGTTTATAAATCCAATCCTCGTTTAAACTGCTCGATTTTCAAATGGTCTGGGAAATATTACGCGCAAATTAGAGGGTTGGCAATGGGACAGCGACTGGCACCAACCCTTGCTGTTGCCTTTATGTCTAAAGTGGAAGCGCCAGTAATCGATCTCAGGCCATTACTCTACTGTAGGTATATAGATGATTGTTTTGTCATCTGCTCCATACAAGAGGAGATGAACAAATGCTTTGAGTTATTGAGCGAACAGTCGAAGTATATAAAATTTACTCCTGAGAAACCGAAAGAAAACTGGCTTCGATTTCTAAACGTTCAAATTAACCTATCCGAAAACGGCTGCAACACAAAATGGTATCGAAAGCAAAGCAGTAGGAATATAGTAGTTCATTATCTCTCGTCTCATCCCTCACACACTAAAAGGGCCCTTATAAGAAATATGTATTGAACCGCTGCCAGCGTGTGCACAGGTAGAGAGCAGAGGGAAGAATCCTCGGAACTGGCGCGGCAAATAGCCATTTCAAATGGTTACGAAACTGTAGTTTCTCGGCATAGGTCTAGAGGAAAAACCACGCCCCAGAGGGATAATTCTAACGGGAACAAGGCCCCGTTTCTCTTTCCCTTTATTTCAAACGAAATAAGTGCAGCCATAAAACGCTGCTTAATAAAGGTCGGTTTAGAGAATTCCGTAAGAGTGATGGAAATATCATCGAACACTCTGAGACGCCAACTAGTTCGTAACCGCCTATAGGACCGTCTATGCATAAAGAAAAACTGCATAAATTGCTCTAACGGTAAAGACGGTGATTGCATGCGTTCGGGTACAGTCTATCTGATCTTTTGTAAAGCGTGCGGAGAGGAATACGTTAGCGAAACCGGTAGACCACTCTGCGTACACTCCACTATGCGCGCATAGGATGGAGGAACACAACGGAGATTTTGAAGTAGGAGTCACTATCCTCACGCACGAATCGAAAGCATCAGCGCGTAAAACTCTTGAAGCGTTTTGGACCGATTCCAAAAATTCAAAAATGAACCGCAAGGAGGAGTGTCTTGTCATCACGCGTGACCTGGCGCCATACCTCAGGCTAATCCAATGACCTGACACAGACACAGTTGTCGCCCATGTATTACTCTGTGCGGCGGCTATCCATCAACTAGCTTAAAAACTTACAACAAATAAACGGTAGGTGTTTAAATGAAGCTGTTTCTTATGCGAATGAAAATTTATTTAAGTATTATCTGCTAGGGTTATGAAAGTGTTTGGCTGAGCAGATCGCATCTCAGTTTGACTTTTCCAGGCTCTGAAGAAGACGGAACCGCCGAAACATCAGCTATTGTATCCTAATAAGTTCTATAATAACAGCCTCGTGTCTGCTTATTGAAGAAAAACAACGAATTATCAATCAGTGCCGAGGTTAACAGAAAGTCGGTTTCGGGAATTGCTATGTGTGAAGAGTTCTAATTATAGAACTTTTAAGTCGTAAAGATTACTAACAATACCTAGAGAGTTCAACTTGAAAGAATCTCAGATTATAAAATAAATTCAATTGAATGCGATGTTAACCACATCAACATAATAATATGGGAATAACAGGTCGAAATTAGATTATGTGAGCACGTCGTCCCAACTTGTCACAGCAGGGTTTTATGTGAAATATAACCACAGTGACGCTGAAGCATGAGCAATATTCCGAGCCTCCGGTGTGCTTTGAACCCGCGACATTCCTTTCCGGTGGCTCACGTATTACCCACTGCACCAACAAAGACCCTTACACATCTAGGATTCCGTGTTCTGCTCATACCTCAGCATTATTGTGGTTATAGTATAGTTACAATTGTAGAAGTCGCCTCAATGATCCTACAAAAATGAAGAGATCATACCATAGCGAAAAGACTCTCTCGGTGTTGATTTCAATGTTTAAGCACAGAACACGCGTTTGTGTCCACTCTTCACTGGATACAGCCTTAATGATGGGTACTCGTTTTATTTCAGTCTCTCACCGAGGAAATGAATTCGTCCGGAAAAATTCTTTGCAATTTGTCGGTATTTGTGTATAACAAGCCCGCAAAATGGTTATGAGAGCGCTGCTAAGAAGCCTACTCTTCTCTTCTCGAAATAAGCTACCATAAATAGAATTCTCAAAATAAAGTGCCATAAGTGGAATTCTCAAAATAAACTACCAAAACTACCATAGATGAAATGACACCATGCAGAATGAAACCGGCCACAATGTCGAACCACATAAGACATTCTGAGATCATGTCGGTATGCGTTAAGAAAAAAGTGGACGAAATATGAAGGGTGGTACCAAACTAGTATATTAGAGAGATTTAAATGTTCAAAAAATAGCATAAAATATCTTTATCTGCACGAATAATTAAAACACGTAAGAATGTGCCAATATAGTGGGCAGAAATAACAATATATATGAGGTTTCCAGTTCTAAGTCATGCTAGGAATACGAGAATGCTGTTAAAAGTACAGTTCACCTTTAGAGTGCAATTTAGAGCAAAGCTATGGGATTCTTATAAAGGAAGATTAAGGGTCTAAAAGAGAAACTTCAATTCCATAAGTGCTACACGGTAGGTCAAATATCTTCCTCAGGACTTGAAGACAACCCAGCAGTGCTATTAAAAACCGTTTCTCGAGATTTGAACAAGTACTTAAAGGACATAAGAATCTTTAGAAATACGTTCCACTAGAGGTAACGGAAAATTAAAACAGTCCATCAATGAATTCCGTATTCGGGTCAATTGTAATATCGAAAAAGCAGGGGCGGGTGTTAAGACCTGGCATGGTAGTGATTTCACCTACAAGGGGTGTTATAAATCCTGCTCCAATGGATGCACGAACACCACGGATTGGGAGAATGAAGTCTGAAAATTCGTTTCTTTTTAATCGCGCTAGAACCATACTTTCTATAGCGTCCTGGATTTATAATAACAAAAAAGCAATAAAGAAAGCTAGAAAAATCTTAAAAGTTTCATTAATAAAGAAAACTTACTTGTAGGAGCTCCCTTTCTTGTGGGATCATGCGAAAGTGATAACTGTGTTTTCGCCATACATACTGGCAAATCGGAGTACCCATGTTCAATATAGTAATTTAGTTCCTGAATCAAATGACCACATTTTAGTTTTCATCGCAAAGAAATAATTTTGTGTTAATAAAATGACAAAAACACATTCATGAATACCCGGGAAATATTCATATATTTGGGAATTTAAGAACAGATAAACGACACAAATGAAACAAAAACTACAGAGGTTTCTTCTATCTACCGAAAATCACCGAATCGCATAAGTTTACTCCGCCAAAACCAAGACCCATTTGGGCCTCTTAATCCTAGTGTTACTTCCTAGCAATAAAAACAGCACAAGAATACTTACTTATTCCTGTGGTCATAGCTATTTTTAAAAAAGTTGCGAATAAAGCATGTGACGTCAGACGCTTAAAACTTAATCATGGATACGCACTATACCTTCCGAGCTTCATTTGATAGCTCTATTCCATCGGCACCATAGATCTCACGCGCGATTGTAGCCATTTTCTCTTCGAGAGGGGTGCTCAGAGGATATAAAAATCTTAATACAAATCATAGTAGGCATAAAATTTGCAGCTTTTCATTAAATGAGTACATTAGAATCACTTAAAACTTGGTCTGGGTCCGGATGTTACATCTATCAGCGCCTGAGCAAGCTGGATCGCACCGACTCCTCCTGATGACCAGTGGTTCGAAACCACAGCTCGTCTAGCACCATAAGAAATGGCCTGTATAAACAGCGTTGGTGTGAAAAGCTGAGCAAGGAAATCATCATCCATACCTTGTCAACTACCAATCCCAGCTCCTTGCTTGTATCAGTGGCAAATCTGTTAACGCAAACCAAAACTGGAACTCCAAACTTGTTCGCATTCTCAATCTAAAAACAGAAAAATAGAAGCCAAAACAACATTTGAAAAAGCACTAAAGAAAACTATCGACCATTCCTCATTGTTCATTAGACGGGGCATCTCACAATCATACATAATGAAATAACAACTCCCAATGATGGTTCTCAGAGCAATCCGCAATTTTAGATCTTCGGCAAGGAATGTTAAAGAATAGACTAGAAGATTTCTGTCATGAGCCTAAGATCACATATTTCGTCGATGAAGGACTGCCTTTGTTTACTCCTAAGATTTGCAGTTTGTTGTAAAGTAATTAGTTCCGTAAGAAAAAACAAGCGCCAGATCGAAGTGTGATTCTTAACACCATCTCCTCTGGAAGAATACTTCCAAGAAACCTACACGTGAGCAGCGCTTGACTGTAAGAAAAAAGGAGAGAAGATAAAAGAAAAGCATACTGGTCTTTATAAAAAAAAGAGGAAAGGTATAAAAAATATCGACAACACAAATTGATTGCTCGTCGACGCGTTAGCAAGGTGTATTCCCAGATAATTTTATCATCACATACATTTCACGAAACTATGCAAATAAAAAAAGGTTGCTAGTCTTCATCAGAAATGGAAAACAGAAAGAAAAAGGCAATGTGTCCGATACATGCTCGACGCTTGGAAATAGAAGCACAAGAATTAATTTGAAACATAAAACATTGTCTATTTCGATCACATTTTCATTTCTGACCTCATGTAAGCAAGACACAATATTGGTGGAAGAAATATTCATTGAGGCGTTAATGGTTGTAGTTATGCGATGGTTTATGGTATCCCACAAGTAGATTTGGCTAAACGCCTGCAGTTAAGTAAATGTGAAGTACATGCGAGGTGGTTAGGAGTGTCTCAAAAAACGAACTCATTCTCTGTCCTAGGAAACCCTGGACATGCACGCTGAGTGTATTTAGTCCCCACTTAGCAGCTCTGCAGGCCTTCCGTGGTTACTAATAGCAAAACAGTAAAGGTAATAGGACTCATTCCCTTGACGCAAAAAATTTTCACGATATGAAATACTAGATACATACTTGATACTTGAACGGCCCGTCATCAATAGTTTTGCGGGCCCTAGCATAATCACCACTTTTCGGAGATTTGCTGTATAAACCATGTGGTTCCTTCGAATCCCGAGGATAGCCTGGCCAAAGTCTGCCCCAGGTCGTCACCAGGACAGGCAGTCGCAGCCCTTGTGGATCAGAGGGAGATTTACCACCATGCGACTTTGATACTAAGACGGTGGTGGATACTGGTATTGGTTTACTCTTAGCTAGGCTTCCTGATGGAAACGCCCGACTCATTCTCAGCTTGGAAAACCCTGCCGGGGAGACGAATCCCCTCACTGTACATGGCAGTCCGACACCCAGGAACACCTCCCAGCCACGATCCGGCGGTAAACGGTCGGGAGAAATAGTGGACAAGAAGAACACAAAGAGGCTGGTAAAATTTCATTGCTATTTTGAATTTTTTAAATTTGAAAGGATTACGGCGGCAATCTTACCCAAAAGTACACGTACACAACCATCTAAATCCTCTACTCAGAACCTGATGATGCAGACCGAGAAGATTGGGTCCGAAATCATCGGACTGGTCGAGACAAGAAAATGATGCTAACAAAGCTGTACTTATGATAGCGAAAAACAATTCTCCGGATATGCGATAGTGGAAGAGTAGCTCGGTTGGCTTTTCCACTAATACAAATTTGCATTGAGCATCGAAATGTGGACCAAGAAAGGATTTGAAAATTGTAAAAATCTATGTAGTAGCACCAAATAGTAACGCAATTTGAACATTTTATCACGAAGGTAAGGCCGAAGAATTCTACCCTTTTATTTAAGAAGTCTTCTCAGAGGTTCGCCATCTCGTAGTGACTGGGGAGTGTTCCTAGGTGTCAAACTGCGATATATATATATATATATATATATATATAATATTTGACCTCCAGGAGGGTTCGCTAAGCTGGTAAGGAGTTTAAAGTTCCTATTCGGCAGCCTAGCTAAATAGTAAACTAATATCAGGAATAATCGCTGTCTTGGTATCAAACTAGTTACATGGTAGTAAATCTCCCTCAAAGGCCGGTGACTCTTTGCGGTGGCAGTGAAGTAGAGAAGGCTAAGCCTCGGCTGATATCGGGACTTCAGGGAATCACAATGGCTAAACCAGCAAAAATCCAGCCTCAACATCTCGCACAATTAGCGCTCCCATTTATAATAACGAGCGATGAAACAACCGGTTAAACGTGACCAAATCTTTCTGTGCATCTATAAATCCAGAACACTTTCTTCAGGTGCCGACCTCTACGATCTTCTTCAGGCCGCCAACGGTATCAAAGTCCATGTGATTGTCGTATAAGAGACGAAAATCAGAAGGGTTGAGATACGCCAGTCAGGTGATGGAATCTTTGTCATTCGTGAAGGGAAACTTCCGTTACGAAATGTTAGAGGCGTGCGTTGACTTTGTCGTATACCCATCTACTTCCCATCTTTTAACCTCATACGAAATCCTACCACCACACTTGTCCATTTCTCCTCTCCAACTTAGACCCGTTCTACAACTAAAGAAGTAACAGACAACGAAAAGTTTTCCTATAAATTCGTTGTTGCAGACTTCACTGCTAGGTTAGGAACGACTGACGAAAATGTATACATGATAGGAAAAATCGCAAGTGGAGATCAAAATCAGAATAGAAACCATTTTGTAGGACTCCTGCTCGCAAAATGTGTCTCTATGAAGAATAATTTTTTTAGAAGAAAGAACATCATTGAAAAACATAATAGTCTTGTAACGTAACGGCAGGACTCATGCCAGAATCGACAATATTCTCTTAAATATCCAAGAAAAGCAGTGTATAACGAGGAAATTCTCAACAAAATCCCCTCATATGGCTGATAGATAAAAGAAGAGCCGACTGAAGACTACAAGCTGCTTATCGAAGGACGTAAAGCTTATACTGAACTCTCTTCATTTCCTCACAGAAGAAATTCAACCTCATCTCCATTGCCCAACAAGCACTTGTTCGAAAATAGAAGCACACTGAAGCTTGATCCTACTGTATCATAGATAACATGGCTGATAAGAAATGCCCGCTGTAGAAAATCTTTGCAAGAGTATTTACATCGGTATAGCCAGAAAAACTCATTGGAAGGAACCAAAAAACGATCTAGTCTTAAAAAGTGTCGCCGAAATTACCGCGATTGCAATGTTCCATATTCTCCTGATGAACGAAGATGGAACTGTCACAACATTAGCCATGATATGGAATTCATAACGGAAAGTTCTACACCAATCTTTTAAGTTCCACAATCCTGTCTCAGATCATGAAATCTTCGCTGGAAAAAATCCGTTTGGGATTCTACTGTTTGAAGTTCGGCTTACGATAGAAACCAAGAAGATAAGTACGGCTATAAGATCCGATATATCCCCCGACTTCCTTTGAGCATAAGTCCAGGGATTATATGTACTTAACGAAACCTATGTGACATCTTACCTTCAGAAGGTAAAAACCTCAGACAAATGAAGAACGTCGTGTACGGGAATCCTGTGATCTTTTTGAGTAGCACCAGCAAAGCGTAGACGACGTCCACTGAGCCTAACGATGCAGGAAAAGTGATTACGTTGCAATAGGATAAGACCCAGTTCATGAAGAACCGTCGATACGAAGGCAAACAAATAAAACTTGATCGCTTTCATATTATATAGAGCACCTCGGACGTGTAGCTTGGACGTTCATTGAGCACGGAGAACAACAAGAAAGAGAAATTAGATAGAAGAAGGAGAGACGACAGTAGCATGTCCTGCATTCAGGCCTCTCAAAAGAGCCACGGACCGAATAGCTGATCCAAAACTCCGCACTCGTCTTTTTAACTCAATAGTCCTTCCATTCTCTGTTGTCACAGAGACGTGGGATGATAGTTCAACAACGTCGAGAACCCCGCGCACCACTCACAGAACGCCTGAAATGATATGCTTCAAGATTTGACTAGCACTCACAACATCTTGCCGGTATGAGCATCTCAGATCTTCAAAACCTATCTCATTTACTAGACCCAGAAGAATGTACATCAAAGCACAGATGGGCCGGTCACATAATAATAGAAATAGAAAACATATAGACGAAACGAACAGTGGAGCAGACTCCAACAGAATACAAGTATCCTCTTGCACGACCACACAAAAGATGGACGGATGTGTTCGTTGCTAACGTTAAACATCTGCATTCACAGATGGAGGAATGATTTCAGGACCATAGAATGGACTTCAAGAACGCCACCATGTTCGAAACAGACTACCATTACAGACGACGGTAACGCGACAGAAACGAATTGAAATTGTGCTGGGGCCCGCACTACCAGTGAAGACGGGACGTATAACCATCCAAGCAAGTAAGTATTCGAGAAATAGTACACAAAAAAATTATAACATAGAAGAAAATCACAAATGATCACCACTGGCCAGTTTAACACCAAGACTAGCCCAGCAAAACTTGTAACGTATTTCATGACGCGATTAATGGACTCGAAGGAAATAGACGGCTATGGAGAAGAGTTAGTCAGGATAACCAAGACGATTCACGCCAACTGAGCTTCAGCAGCACTACTCTCAACGCTAGACCTAGAAGACTTTCAGTGAAGAGGAAGACGACGAAAAAGGCAACATCATAATAAATCGAAGGCGACGCGTAACCGATATCACACTTCTCCAGTGTTCTGGGTTAAAATCACTGCTTCCTCCTCGCAAGATACCTGTTTCTTGCAGATAGGAAAAAAGGCCGCAAAAATCATAAGAAAAAACTATGAAACAAAACCCTAAAACTATCACGAACTGGTAATTGTTCACTTCTATATCTGGGTTTTCAAGAGAGTCCGTCACCAACAATGTCGACGAAAAATACGAGCGGATCATCCTGCAGTTTGAATTCAATTTCGCTAAAAAGTCCGATAATTTGACCACCGCCAAGAAATGTCAGACTTCAAAAACATTTAAGCCGCTGAAAGCACCTGGAGTAGTGTTGAGTCATAATAAATCACTGTTTACTCCCTAACGTAACAAAACTCTCAAAATAAGCAAAAAACATTTTAACGAAAGAAAACCAAGAGCATTGACTGTAGCTGTACTGGTTGGGGTAAGAATTCACAACAATAAACAGGAGTCAATTACAATACCGAGGTAATATCCTTTTGGTGCCCAGATGGAACAGACACTGCTTACATGAAGGCAGTAGAGAAGATCACCAACAAATTTCTCTCCGACTTCTTCTTAAGTAACGTATACCTCCATAACATCCGCGGTTAGCGAACAAGGATATTCCGTTGCAACGGCCTCCTCTTATAAAGCCCGAAGTTGTAGACGACGTTACGGTATTCTACATATTGTAGAGAACAATCTCCGCTTCTTGATTTGCTTCCTACACAATATATGAAACTTGACACTTAAACGACCCGTCCTCACTGGTTGTGCGAGTCCAAGCATAATCACCATTTACCGGAGATATGGTGGTTAAGTCATTGTAGTTCCTTGGAATCCAGAGGTCAGCTTGGCCAAAGCCTGCCCCAGGTCTTCACCACCACGGGCAGTCACAGCCCTTGTGGATCAGAGGTAGATTTACTACCATGCGACTTTGATACCAGGACGGTGGCGGATCCTGGTATTGGTTTACGCTTAGCTAGGCTTCTTGATGGAAACGCCAGACCACTTCTCAGCTTAGCAGAGCTTGCCGGGCGGACGAATCTCCCCGCTGTACATGGCAGTCCGACACCCAGGAACACCTCCCAGCCACGATCCGGCGGTAAACCGTTAGGAGGTATACAGTACACACAAAACAAAAATCAATAATTACCAATGCTGTTTATCTAGTCATACCTTCGAACTTAAAATGCACTTGCATAGAACTGTTCAGACTAACCTTTTTTTAAGGTTTTAATTCTTATCCGATATACTTTCTCGTGCCGATCGTAGTACAATTGAATTAGCAAAACAATACTTTTGAAACAAACACAAATACCAACTCCCACGACCGACTTTCTATTAACCTCGGCAATGATCAAGTAATTCTTCGCATTTTTGTTGAGCAAACGCGAGGTGTTATTATTCTTTATTCACGAATGAGCTGACGTTTCGGCAGATTTCGTCTTCCTCAGAGCTTGAAAAGGTCAAGTTGACAGCAATCCACTCGGCCAGACGCCTCCATAACCAAACAAAGAAACCCTAAACCAAGATTTCAATCACTTTGAACACAGCTTTGCACACTCACCGCTTTCTATGAGGTTTCCACTAAGTATGTCACGTAGAGACCAACCGCACAGAAATAACATGGAAGTATAATGTGCCCCACTCATCAGAATAGCAGTCTTATATACTGCCCAACATCACGCGTGATAATGAGGCATTCTTCCCTGCGGTTCATTTTCGGATTTCTGGAATTAGTGGAGACCTCATAGAAAGCGGTGAGTGTGCAAAGCTGTGTTCAATGTGATTGAAATCTTGGTTTAGGGTTTCTTTGTTTGGTTATAGAGGCGTCTGGCCAAGTAGATTGCTGTCAACTTGATCTTTCCAGGCTCTGAGGAAGGCGAAATCCGCCGAAACGTCAGCTCATTCGTGAATAAAGAATAATAACACCTTGCGTTTGCTCAACAAAAATACGAAGAACAAAGACCAACTGCTGTAAGAGGGATTATCAGTTGAAAAACAAGTTATCAAAAACTGATAATCATATCAACAACAACGCTCTATATTAATGAGTGTCGCGGGCGTGTTTGGCTCAAGCGAGACGCTCAACTGAGGGAGATCCGGTTCGATGCGAGAGAAAGACACCACTTCGGGAAGAGGAACAACTGTGGACCATCGACAAGGATCGTCGGCTATGATGAAAACGAACACGTCGAAACATTAGCCAAATAAACATCTCTTATCAACTCGTGTAAGCCCAACAATATAAACAAATATTGGATTTGTATTTTTGCAGAAACTATCCGAGCTTCATCTAATGTACTTTAGCGCACTGAATCTTTTCTTTTGCTTCGTAGTGTCATCGTATGCGCTGTTGAGAGGGCGATGTTAGGAGCTTCCAGCATCATGCAAATAAGACAAATTCGGCATTTTCACTTACGTCGACGATCTCAAGGTTTCATACCTGACACCACAGTATGCACTACGGTATCGAAACTCACAAAAGGCCCATAGAAAGATAGAATAATCCGGCGTCACTGTGAAGACAAGATCTTTTAGCAACTAGTCTCATAAATTGTAGTGGCCTAACTTTTTCTCCTCTCAGACAAGTCTGGCACCAATTTGCCCACACAGGAGGGATAGATGACTTGGTGAGCACCAATCAGTGATCGACCTAATATCTATTACACAGCACTTCCGATCAGCGCGTTACATGCACCACAACAATCACAATAACAGTAATACTTGTAACAATGACAACGAAAAGATGAAATAGAAATTGACAGTGGTCCAGAAAAAATTGAAAATTCATGCATAGCCCTACCTGTTTCTTCAAATTTGTAGAACAGCCTCCATGTACAAGATCAAGATTTTCTTCAAGATATTCATGCTTCAAAGGATTTCCAGCCACAACAGACGGACCACCACCGTGCATTTTTAACGCACGTACCGTTGCAACAAGCACTACTGCCGATGGATGCAATCCAGAACACCTGAATTCGCCTGTCAGAATTTCTCTAAGAAGAACAAAAGAAAGAGAACACGCAAAACTTATGAAACACCCTCTCCTTCGCAAAACAACCAAAAAAAATCTTACCTACACTTAATGTTGAAGAATTTCTCCATACCAATATCCGCTCCGAAACCAGCTTCTGTAATAACGAACCCATTTTCACCCACAAGCTTCAGTGCAACCTAAACTAGGAAGGCTTAAACTACTAAAAAATCAGTAACTTACAAGTTCAAAAAATTTTCAAGTTCGACTAACCTACATGGAACAAACCTACGTTGCAATAAAGGTAGATTTTGAAACACGTTTCTCATCCTCATTATGGCTTCTTTATGTTACCTTTGTGTTCTCTAGTGGTTTGTTCATAACTACAGTTTATTGTTATCAAGAAATAACAGATTATGAAGTGAAACCTTATCCGCAAGGATACTACTTTGCCCATGGGCAATATTCGCAAATGGCCCAGCATGTACAAATACAGGGGTTCCTTCCAGAGTCTGCATCAAATTTGGACGCACCGTATCCCGCATAAGTACCTTCAAAAAATTGTATGTAAAAAGCGCCAGAAGAAAATAGAAAATTAGTCGGCTTCCAATTATTTCCTACTGTTAACGCATCCGTCACTCCAATATCATCGGCTGTCACCGGCTTTCCACACATGTCTGAAGCAACTACTAGTTTGCTGAATCGTTCACGCATGTCTTCGAGAGATGTAGTGAGCGCCAGAATTGCCATTATCTGAAAGTGTAAAAGATATACGTAATGCAATGTAAGATAACGTAATTTGACAAGCATTTGTAGTTAAAGCTGATCTTCAGTGTCGATCTCAGGTTGGGTTAAAACATATTGGACGACAGGAATCATATATAATCCGTACGTGCCTGGAAATATTGATCACTGTGAGACAAGTGTGAATTATTTTTCGACTGCACTTTCAACAGTGCAATTGTTTTGCTACACTTCCAATATTCAATTGTTACCTTTCCCAACATAGATTTTCCACAGCATCGGCTGAAAAAGTCGTTTTCTACAGACCGGAATTTACATCTTTCCTGGAAGAAGTCGTTCGTGCAAAGCTCTCGTTGAGCAACTGATGGTGGTGAGGAGGGTATTAAGGTATATTCACTAGTGGTACTACCACCATCGATGAAAAAAGGTAGTACAATGTTTCTCTGTCAAATTTACAAATACTTTTATTAATTCGATAGAATAACAAAGAGACTATGGCTAGTGAAGAAAGTACTTGAAGACTCCGTCTTGAAAGGAGCTTCGTGTCAACCAACGTTGAGTATCACTGAGCGTGTTAAACAAATTTTCCTAACGTGGAAAAACTTTTCGCTAAACAATAACAAATATCGGTAAAGCATTAACTTGCTCTTTATAAACGTAAAAAAAGAATTAAATTCATCATTTTATGTCGCACCTCACTTGCTGCAGTTATGTCGAACTGAGTCCTTCTTGTATGACCCTTTTCGCTAGATGCCAACCCAATTTCGATCTCTGAAAGAGAATCCCATGCAAAAATTCAACGTCAGATCATCTATACTTATAATGACATATTTTGTGATTTGATATGAAAATAATTGACTAGAAACCTACTTACGATTAAAAAACTAGAACTACGAAAAGAAGTAAAAAAGAAACATCAGATGTTCTTTAATGCTAATTTCTTGTGTTGGTCGAGTCCTTGCTTCGCAGTTAAAACAGAAAATAAGCATAAATTCTGTACAAAAGCGTTTTTCATGGTAACTATAGCAAATTGCTGCCGGTAGAATTAGAGCAATCGGAATCCCTGTGGAATACGTTTCTCACAGTTCAGCAAATAAACCAGCGCCTCTATCACACCATATTAGAAATAACTAGCAATGGCAAGGCTCACCTCGAAGGAAACGATCATTGGTATCGACCACGCGATTCCATGTGATTGTGTCGGCGTTAATGTTCAAACGGCTAAATTGCACCCGCTGATCGTCACTCAACAAATTCGCATCATCGACGTTAGGCAGCTGGAGACGAACGAGACGTCGTTTCTGCACTGCTGACAGAGGACGTTCGCCTGTTAACATGAGGTGGCCATTTACACAGATCAGGTACAACGACATAAAAGCAACGTTTTTGTATTTCATACGCGTACCCTTAAGTAAATCGATATAAATGATATCCACTTTACTTGGCGAACTGGTTCTTGTGAAGATACTACTCTGTAGAAGACTACTCTAAAAAGTGGCAACTTTCCTAACCACAGCTTAAAAACGTTGAAAATCCTCTCTGGTAACTAATTACTAGTCATTTTTTATGTTTCTTTTTCTGACTAACTTACATGTTCTCCCAACTCATTACTGCAGGGAAAAGTGCTCTTTCAGGGTAATAAATGAACGATAACGTCTCTAAATAATAAGTAGTAAATTAAAGTGATTAAAATGGGTTTGGATATCTACAACCCAAAACGTTTCCTAGACAGTAAAGAAATCTATACCTTTCTTATTCATCGGGCACAACCGGTTGAATAAAGCATAATCACTCTGTGTAGATTCATGGAACATTCTCGCATCAATGGCAGCTGCTAGTAGGTTATTGGCTGCAGTAACAGCATGTATGTCACCAGTTAGGTGAAGATTGAATTCTTCCATAGGAATCACCTTAAACGTTGCACTATGGACATAACAACCGTGGTTATCAATGATTAACACACCTGAGAGTACCCTCCACCTGCGGCACCACCTTTAATTCCAAATGTCGGACCCTGTGATGGCTGACGAATACAAGCGAAAACATTCTTGTGTAGGTGCGCTCCAAGTGATTGAACAAGTCCAATGGTAGTTGTAGATTTTCCTTCTCCTAATGGAGTCGGTGTGATTGCTAAACCAAAGTTGCTCGTAACGACCGTATAAATACTAAAATAGCGTTTTCGAAGAATTTCTGTGCTTCTGCTATCTTATGTGTGCTTCATGTTCTTCTAAACAACCTTCTATCTGAGAGTATCCCACATCACGAAACTGAGGAAAAGAAAAAGAGAGACAGACGGAGAAAGGTAGAGAAGAAACTGGAGCTCCGTGCTACGTCATTGACTAAAGAACAGCAATACCACTGCGCACACCAAAATGGAAAAACTAGGTGGGTTGGACATATAATCTGGAATGCAACGGGAAGGTCACGGACCCGACAATTAAAGTTCTTCATAATGATTCCAGGGAAACGGTAAGAACTCAGCGTGTACCAAACGCGAGCAGAACCCAGTTGGCTACTTTAGCACGCGACAGAAAGTAGCAGAGCCCGTTTAAGTTAATCAACCACCAAAGGAAAGGCGGTTGACTTCCCACAAGTAGTATATCAAATTGTTCAAACTATGCTCAAAAGGCGAATACACCTAAAGAATTTTGGTGTACATATGCAGCGATCCGTCAGTAACTGAAGACAAGCTCTTGTGCGATATGATAGATAAAGGAGGACATCTATACATCGGTAGTTAGTACACAAATCTTCACCTCGTTGAGGACGTGCTGCGATGTTGGTACCCACAGGAAGAACAGGAAAGGATTTTGACCGCAATTCATCAAATTCATCAACGGGGTGCTAAACACAGGATAGTTGACAGCCCAACAAAATCAGTGCAGTAATAAGAGCGTTGGAGTTTAAAGACAAGAAAAATTACATTAATGTAATGCTCATAGCTCATAGTTCGTCCGTTTCCCCCAACTCATCAAAATAAATAATAGAAGACCAAAACTATGAGATGTTCCTCGATACAATAGATCAGATGGCAGCCTATTTTCTACATGCCATGAGGAGAAGAAAGTTGTAAGCACACTTGTGATTCTTAATGGTTTATACAAGGAGGCAGATAGCATAGTAGTAGTAATGCCCGTCACAACGAGCACGGTGCTAGTTCGATTCCGCTCCGAGCCAACCAAGCTTCTCATTCCTTCGGGGTGGGGAAATTGGTACCGGACTTTCTTAAGAAAAAAACCACTTTCTGCAATCCAATGGGGAACGCTCCAGCCCGGCTATCTCAGAACTCCAGAGAGAATTGCTCGACCAGCATTCTACGACATTCAAGATGGAATGAAAATCCTTACGTAGCAACCGAAGCCACACGTAAAGCTGGAAGATCTTTATGGATGATGGATACGAGGAAACGAATTGAATGTGAGAAGTGTGGGGATCCGCACAGTAGACGTGAAGACAGGTCAAATAAAGAAAAATTTAAAAAAATAATTTACATATAACTCCTTTTACTGATTATTCACCTACAGCTGGCTCTTCTTCCCTTGATTACTCATACATGTCTAGTGTACGCAATGAGGATCTATATTAGGCACATACGGTAAACCTAGCTGAGTGACCTCATGATAGATGTCTCCTTGTATTACACTGGAAACAAGAGTGCTTTTATTATGAATATTGCTGACCGTAAGTTAGAATGTTGTGGATGCTATGCATGTGATCCGTTTTTTGTTAATTATATGCAGGATATAAATGCATATATATATATATATATATATATATGGTTTATATGCATATATGCCTCCCAACGGCTTACCGCCTCACCGTGGTTGGGAGATGTTCCTGCGTGTCGGACTGCGATGTACAGCGGTGAATTCATCCCCTGGAAGGGTCTCCCAAGCTGAAAAAAACTCCGGCTTTTCCATTAGGAAGCCTAGCTACGAGTAAACCAATACCAGGATTCATCGCCGCCCTGGTATCAAACTCGCACGGTGGTAAATCTCCCTCTGATCCACAAAGGCTGCCACTTCCTGTGGTAGTGGAGACCTGGGGCAGACTTTGGCCAGGATGACCTCGGGACTCCAGGGAACCATAATGGCTTAACCAGCAAATCTCCAAAAAATGGAGATTATGCTGGGGGCCGCACAACCAGTGAGACGGACTATTCAAGTATTAAGTTAGTAAGCATACAAGTATGCATGTATATATATATATATATATATATATATATACGGTTTTTGTGCACAAATTCTAAACGATAAAAGGCAAAATCATGTCTTAAGCACAACGTTTAAAATAGCACTAAGAGGTTTTGATAAATAACACTTGACAACTGTTTAAAACGACAAGGTGTGCTAAACTCGAATAATGTACATATGGCCTATGAACTGTGTTTAGCGTTTGATAACGACTTCGACAACGCCTACGAAAAGACTGGTCAACGAGCAAACCTCACAAAAACATTGTTCATAAGGAGCGGAATATCTAGTTCGGAAAATCAACATGACACGGCTTAGCTCCACAGTTGAGCAGGAGGAATTGAGCAGTTTGGGGAGCTTTCAAGAGCATCGAGGATGTAGTGAAGAGAACAAGGAATACCCGTCTCCGTGCCCACCTTTTCGACTTCACAATTCCTTCTTTTCCTAATGTATGCGTCAGGAACCTTGTCGCTGCGTAAGCAGGATGACAAACCACTCAGTGTTATTGAAGGCGTGGTCGAGAGGTTGAGGCTAAAGTATCCCATGTCACACACGTAAGGGAAGGAATCCGAAGCTCCGATCTGCTTCAACGACCAAAATTCAAAGATGCCATACCATACGTCAAACTGTCGAAGGTGATGTGGGCGGGATATGTAATGCGTATGAACGAAAACCGATGGACAAGAGCAGTTAATGACTAGATTACTCAAGATGTCAAACGTACTGCAGGATGATCACCAACCTGATGGTCAGAGTTCTTTACGAAAAGCATAGAAGAGTGGTGTGATGCTCAACGAGTCCCTAAAGCGAGCGGATCCTGGTGGGCGACTGTTGCCCGAGATAGCGAAAAGCGGAATATTTACTGACGCCGGCTCGAGTCACTCGATGATTAACGGGACGACAGGTGAGCTGATACTCTATGAATAACGAACCACTTCGAAAAAGCCTCCCCAGGGCATTTTCATTTCATCGTAAAGAAAAAGAGTTCTCATCTCAAGCTCTGAACATCATTGCTGGAGTAAAAACATTTCTGCGCCCTTCAGAGCCCAGAGTCTCTATGCAGCTTACTCTTTGCAACAGTAACAGTCTCTCAGGGCAAAATTAACTCTTGTAGAAGAAAGCTTTTTGTAAATTAATAAGCAAAAAAGACAACTTTTCATGGGTTATGGCCGATACAACACCTGTATTGCTTCAGTCAAGCTATAGATTGAGTACTAAAACTGTGGTAAAAAAAAAAAGAAAAAATTTGTGTAGCAAAACAAACCACTGAAAATGAAAACCATAAGAACTTGGTAGATTATCCTTCAAAACACATGAATAGCACATAATGCATCTGAGGCCTTTCGTGTTAACCGCTTCAATACCACGACCACTAACGCAAGTCACTAGAGCGGGATTGAAATGCTCATTGAAATCAGGTACACGGTCCGCAAGCCCTTAGAAGGGACACAACGCATGGGTTTCCGGAGGTTATCGTTGTATTAATCGGTTCCCATATATTGCCCATTATGTTCTCCTGTGGATGTTTCCGTGTTCTTGGACAACTTTCGTGTGTGATGAGAAGAAAATCCATTCATTACCTACCCACGTGGTTTCAGCTTCCCCATAGCTTCAAGCTATCGATTACCTACAAAAAGTCTGGAAAAAAACCTATGTGGTTAAATAGGCCAAAAAAGTTATATATATTGGAGTAAAGATGTACAGCCCGAAACGTACTGCTGCGTACACATCGTAATCAATGCGCATGGCCATGAAAGGGTTAAGAGAGCTAGGCAAACAGTGGTGCAACCACCTGACGCGCTAGAAATAGTAAGAATTAAGAATAATTAGAGATAAGTAATAAATAACAAAAAATGGCTCACATGGATCAAATAAGAACATGTTAACATTATGGATATTGTGGATTATTGTGGATTTATGCCAACCTAGTCCATTCTCATCGTTTACTGGCAATATATAACACTTAGTTAAGTTATGTACCCTTGAAGAGTTAAGCTTGTTTGAACAAAAAAATCGATGATCACCTGTGACAACAACGTATTTTCCATCTTTTACATGTTGCAACCTTTTTAGAACATCTAGAGATACTTTTGCCTTCTTTCTGCCGTATGGATCTAGTTCTTCCGGCAATATTCCGATTTCTCTGGCAAGCTGCAAGACTTTAATAGAAACGGCAACAATTGTGCGATGCATAACATTTGCAAGTTTTATGTAATCATAATCACCCCATATGTATATATATATATATATATATATATATATATATATATATGGGGTGATTATGATTACATAAAACTTGCAAATGTTATGCATCG